AACTTTTGGAAGTTTTTTTTAGATTTTGTAATGTTGGTTTGCACCTCCCGGCCACCATATATAATAGTTAGGATAAAGCTAAATGAAGTAAGGTGTGGTTACCTGGCAGCTCTGCAGCCTGTCATGGTGCTGGGCCTGCAGCTGGTCCAGGGCAGCCCGCAGCCGCTGCTTCTCCTCGGGGGGAACCGTGGAGTCTGGCTGGTCCAGCAGGGAGCGCGTAGCCTGGGTTACCTGGAGCAGCTGTGCCTGCTGAGCCTGGAGCTGCTGGAGCTCCGACTGCGAGGAAGCAGTCAGCGATCAGCAGTTAAATCTGCATGATGGTTAAAAAACATCAAACCTACAACAGAAGTACAGATCCTTACCTGCAGCATCTCTGTGTGCGACACCACAGCGCCCTCTGGCTGTGAGACGGCAGAATCCACCACATCCAGGTTTGCTCCGACCTGATCGGGTTTGTTAAATGATGAGAGAGAGTTCAGCAGGGAGTCTATCTGGCTTTGTGTTTCCTGTAGTTCTTCCACCGCTTTAGCCTGGAGATCAGAGCAGAAATGAATGGATATGAATCAGTCACTGGGTTTGGTGCAGAGATAACGAATCTGAGGAGAAAAAAGTCAAAAAAATCATCAGCTTGGAAGCGTGGAGGGGGAGGACTCACCCTCTGGGTGTTTTGTTGGACAGTCGTACTGATGGCTGTATCCAGCTCTGACAGGGACGTATTTGCAGAGTCGGTCAGGGCGCCATACTGCTCTTTCAGTCTCTCCAGCGCCATCTGAAGGTTCTTCTTCTCCTCTGGGCTCAGACTTTCTCCTTTCTCTGCCAGAAACTCCTCCACAGACCGGATGGCCTCAGCAACACCTGCAGCTTTAGACTGCAGGTCCTTCTGCACTTCCTGGAGCAGGAAATATATCATATAACATTATAAATGACATTAACTCAAACTAGTTAATCAGCAAAACATCACTGAGGTTCAAACTTCACCTTTAGTTTTTTCTGTCTCTCTTGCAGGTCGCTGACATCACCTGACTCTCTTCCAGCTCTCTGATTGGCCAGCAGGCTTGCAGCTCCGGCCAACCACATGTTGAGACCTTCCAGTTTCTGAGAGCACTCTGCTTTCTGCTGTTGGACCACCTGAGGGAGACGAGGCAGCAGGAAACCAGAGATAGAGAACGTGAGGAACTCTGACATAAATCCAACCTGCAGAGGGCGCCACCAGCATTTAAACATTTTCACCATATCCTCAACTTTTCTAGCCAGAGAACTGGTGTGACGTGCACACTTTGGCCAAGCTTTGAGCAGATTGTGTCCAGAAATCACACACACACACACACTGACAGAAACAAAACTTCCCATCAAAACATAACATAAAACAGAGAAAATCAAACATGTATTTGTTTATTTGCCGTTTTTCCTCCTCCTCGGTGTTTGGAGCGAGGCAGGAGGAAGAACGGAGAAGCGCTTTAGCCAGACAGACTGCTTTGCATTTTTTTTTTGGTAGTTGTTACCGCGGTGACGCAAGCGATTTTCTTCTGTGGGGATCTGGAAGAGCAATGCAAACAGGTTAATAAAACACACTTTATAAAGACATGCAGAGGAGCAAAAAAAAAAAAAAACACATCAGCATCAAGAGTCTGAGGCGTCAGAGTGAGCAGCTGCAGCAGCAGGTTTTAGTGGAAAAGAAACAGTTGGAGGAACCAGAACTTTGAATATTCACAGCTGTTTCTATGGATTATGTGTATACAGGGTTCCTACAGCGTAAGGAAAGTTAAATTCAAGACTTTTTAAGACTTTTTAA